TTTCAGTGAGTACATATTTTATCACTGCTGTGTTCACGGTGTTTGATGTAACAGATTTTTACATGCTTTATCTTCCATTTTTAATACTGCATTAAAGATAGATTTTTAGATTAGCCACTAGAGGGAGCTATCGGTAGCTGCCTTAGTGAACCTATAATCTGCCCATTACAGGGAGTCTGCATGTTAGAGAAGGTTCTTTACCAATGATTCTCACCTCTCTCACCTTCAACCGTCTCTTAAGGATGGCACTTAAGGCTAAAAGACTTTTTCCTCTACACATCAATATGTCAACTCTCAAACATAGGATTTGCAACTCGGAAGCTGCATCATTGGAGAAGTGGAAAGAATCGCTCCCTTATATCTGGAAGTTCTGAATATACAGTGCCTTGAAAAAGTATTCATACCCTTTGAAATTTTCCACATTTTGTCATGTTACAACCAAAAACGTTAAAGTATTTATTGGGATTTTGTAAGATAAACCAACACAAAGTGGCACATAATTGTGAAGTGGAAGGAAAATTATAAATTGTTTTCAAATTTTTTTTACAAATAAATATCTGAAAAGTGTGACGTGCATTTGTATTCAGCCCCCTTTACTCTGATCCCCCTAACTAAAATCCAGCGGAACCAATTGCCTTCAGAAGTCAACTAATTAGTAAATAGAGTCCACCTGTGTGTAATTTAATCTCAGTATAAATACAGCTGTTCTGTGAAGCCCTCAAAGGTTTGTTAGAGAACATTAGTGAACAAACAGCATCATGAAGGCCAAGGAACACAACAGGCAGGTCAGGGATAAAGTTGTGGATAAGTTTAAAGCAGAGTTAGGTTATAAAAAAAATATCCCAAGCTTTCAACATCTCACAAGCACTGTTCAATCCATCATCCGAAAATGAAGAGTATGGCACAACTGCAAACCTACCAAGACATGGCCGTCCACCTAAACTGACAGGCCGAGCAAGGAGAGCATTAATCAAAGAAGCAGCCAAGAGGCCCATGGTAACTCTGGAGGAGTTGCAGAGGTGGGAGAATCTGTACACAAGACAACTATTAGCACTCGACAAATCTGGCTTTTATGGAAGAGTGGCAAAAAAAAAAAGCAATTGTTAAAAGAAAGCCATAAGAAGTCCCGTTTGCAGTTTGCTAGAAGCCATGTGGGGAACACAGCAAACATGTGGAAGAAGGTACTCTGGTCAGATGAAACCAAAATTTAACTTTCTGGCAGGTTGATAAAATTACTGGGAGGGGCTGAGCATGACCCAGCTGTTTTGGTCGATGTTGGAACCAATGACGGAATAAATGGAAGGTGGAGGCTCCTTAAGAATCAATTTGAAGAATTAGGCTGCAAGTTGAAGGGAAGGACCTCTAAGGTGAAATTCTCTGAAATATTACCTGTGCCATGCGCAACACAGGGAAGATGGGGGGGATTAGAGAACTCAATGCATGGCTGACGACCTGGTATAGAGGGAAGGGTTTGGGTTTCTAGAGCACTGGGCTGACTTTTCATTGTGGTACAGCCTTTATGCTAGAGATGGTTTGCACCTAAATGGAAGGGGGTCTGCTGTGCTGGGGGAGAGGTTTATGGGAAGGCTGGAGGAGTATTTAAACTAGGATCGGGGGGGGGGGGGGAATTAGATTATAATGGGGTAGACAGATCAGACAGGGGTCAGTCATTATTGGTGGGTGGAATGGAGAAAGATGGGAGGAGGGCTGTGGCAAATGATTAGAAGGTTTCCATGTTACAAACAACCAGTGGAATTGGTACCATTTGTATGAAAATAAAACATGTGCAATATACGTGTACAAAGTTGTCAATCAATTAAAGTGTTTGTTCACCAATGCCAGAAGTCTGCCAAGCAAAATAGGGGAGTTGGAAGCTTTGGTGCATGAAGAGAACTATGATTTAATTGGTATTACTGAATCTTGGCTTCATTCTTCACATGAGTGGGTCATTAATATTCCTGGCTATGTTCTCTTTCGGAGAGACAGGGCAAATAGGAAAGGTGGTGGTGTGTCTCTGTAAGAAGTGATCTCAGAGTGAGTGTGAAAGAGGACCTAGATGATGGAGAGTGTGATGAGGCTGCAGCATTATGGGTGGAACTGCACATGGGGGTGCATACTACAAAGGTAATCATTGGAGTTTGTAATAGGCCTCTTAGTGTTAATGGGTAGGTGGAGACTCAGCTCCTTGCACAGATTGAAAGGGCTGCAAGGGCTAGGACAGTGATAATAATGGGGGGATTTTAACTACCCGGAAATTGACTGGAGTAATGGTACTGCAGGAACAATTAAAAGGCCAAACATTTTTAAACCTACTACAGGACAATTTTATGGTACAGTTCATAGAGGCCCCTACTAGGAATGATGCTCTGCTGGACCTGGTAATCTCAAACCATGCAGAGCTTATTACAAATGTCCATATAAAAGAACATCTGGGTAGCAGTGACCATAACATGATTTCATTTATTGTTAGCTGTAAACAGCAAGCACATACGGGGAAAAATAAAAAACAATTTTAAAAGAGCTAATTTTCCAAGGCTAAGAGCTGCTCTCCAAGACTTAGACTGGGAGGGAATATTGGCATCGATGAACACAACACAGAAATGGGAGTTCTTCAAAAAGACTGTATGTGAACACTCTGCAAAATATATTCCCATGGGCAACAAGTTTAAAAGGCTAAAAATCAAACCTATGTGGCTTATGGGCAAAGTTTAAAAGGCTATAGGTAATAAGAAAAGAGCTTTTATTAAATATACAAATGAAGGAATGCTATAATGGTTTAAACATTACAAAGATTATAACAGAATATTCAAAAAGGAAATAAAGGCCGCAAAAATTGAAAACGAATGGCAGATGGCAAAAGCTAGCAGGACCAACCCCAAAAATTCTTCAAATATATTAAAAAGGTCCAGTCCAAGCATGTACAAAACACCCTTTACAAAATAATCTAGACAGGGTGACTGGGGGGGGAAAGAGAAGGCAAATTTATTAAATACCTTTTTCAGCTCTGTGTATACAAAGAAGCATGGGGGAGCTCTTGTCCATAATGGGCAAGGTATTGAGACAGCTCCGGATGATCCACATTTGCTCACACAGTTGATATGATCCAAAAATATTTAGACAGAATAAAGGTGAATAAAGCACCTGGAACGGATGGCATACACCCATGGGTCCATAAAGAATTGAGCTCTGTCATTTCAAAGCCATTGTTTCTAATTTTTAGGGACTCTTTAATGACTGGCATAGTACCACTGGATTGGCATAAGGCCAATGTAGCGCCAATATTTAAAAAGGGGTCAAAATCTTTACCAAGTAATTATAGACCTGTTAGTTTAACTTCTATAGTTGGGAAAATACTGGAGAGCTTAATAAAAAAGATGAGTTCTTGCTGAAAAAAATATTTTAAGCAACAGACAGCATGGATTCATAAAAGACAGAATTTGTCAAACAAATCTGATTTCTTTTTTTATGAGGAGGTGAGTAAACCTTGGACAGAGGAGTGGCGGTGGACGTGGTATACCTGGATTTTGCAAAACCGTTTGACATAGTTCCCCACACACGGCTAATGTGTAAGGTAAAGTCAACAGGCTTGGAAAAATCTGTATGTAAATGGTTAGAAAACTGGCTAAAAGATCGTATTCAGAGAGTAGTGGTTAATGATTCATTCTCTGAATGGTCTAGGGTTGTGAGTGGTGTACCCCAAGGTTCAGTATTGGGACCCTTACTTTTTAATATATTTATAAACGATATAGGGTCTGGGAATAAAATTCCCATTTCAGTCTTTGCAGATGACACCAAGCTGTGCAGTGGAATAACGTCCTTACAGGATGTCTCCAACTTACAAGCTGACCTCAATGCACTGTTTTAATTGGGCAACTATGTGGCAAATGAGGTTTAATGTTGATAAATGTAAGGTTATGAACTTGGGGGCTAAGAATATGCATGCATCATACATACTAGGGGGAGTACAACTGGGGGAATCAATGGTGCAGAAGGATCTGGGAGTTCTGGTAGATCTCAAGCTTAATAATGGCAGGCAATGCCAAGCTGCGGTTCCTAAAACAAGCAAAATCCTCTCTTATATTAAAAGAGGTATAGACTCCAGAGAGAGATATTTCATTTTTATGTGGTTGAACTGGATGGACTTTTGCCTTTTTTCAGCTAGACTAACTATGCAACTATGAAAAAGCAAAACGCTATGTGTGGCGGAAAACACTGCACATCACCCTGAACACACCATCCCCACCGTGAAACGTGGTGGCAGCATCATGTTGTGGGGATGCTTTTCTTCAGCAGGGACAGAGAAGCTGGTCAGAGTTGATGGGAAGATGGATGGAGCCAAATACAGGGCAATCTTAGAAAAAAAACCTGTTAGAGTCTGCAAAAGACTTGAGACTGGGGAGGATGTTTCACCTTCCAGCAGGACAACAACCCTAAACATACAGCCAGAGCTACAATGGAGTGGTTTTAATCAAAGCATATTCATGTGTTAGAATAGCCCAGTCAAAGTGCAGACATAAATCCAATTGAGAATCTGTGGCAAGACTTGAAAATTGTTGTTCACAGATACTCTCCATCCAATCTGTCAGAGCTTGAGCTATTTTTCAAATAAGAATGGGCAAAAATGGGAGAGACATACCAAAAAAGACTTGCAGCTGTAATTGCAGCGAAAGGTGATTCTACAAAGTATTGACTCGGAGGGGCTGAACACAAATGCACGCCACACTTTTCAGATATTTTTAAAAAATTTTGAAAACCATTTATTATTTTCCTTCCACTTCACAATTATGTGCCACTCTGTGTTGGTCTATCACATAAAATCCCAATAAAATACATTTATGTTTTTGGTTGTAACATGACAAAATGTAGAAAATTTCAAGGAGGTATGACTACTTTTTCAAGGCACTATATCACATGGTTCTTGGCAGATAAAAAAAAAAAGGGGCAAAAAGGAGTGGGAATGGTAAATATCAGTAGAGGAGCACATTCACACCTTTTCTTACCTGTTACGCAGTTCATGGATGTCTCGGCGAAGGCGAGCGGTTTCCTCCCTGTACCTATTAACAGTTCTTTCATCTTCTTCTGTCTGCTGGCTCAGTTTCTGCATTTTGTTGATTAGGTAGTCCCTGATCACAGACAGAGTGGCTGTGGAATTATGAGCCAGGGTCTGCACCACTGTAACATAGGATCAGAGATATACAAGATCACAATTGTTCACAGAAAATCAGAATCAACTTACAACCATTGCTGTACATTACAGAAAAAATGTCTGCAAAGTATTTACATGTATACTAATAAAGTTAATTTAACATTGCACAAAAACAGTATAGTTTAACAAATTATTATTAAGTTTATTATTCTAAGTATGGTAGACTTTAATATAGTTTGGCTACTTTCAAGTAAGATTCTTTCATTGTTTAATTGTTTATAGGGATATGTCGATCCAGGATATCTACTAGACATATCTGTGCGAATTATATTGAGGATATACAGAAGCAATGCTCCACGGACAATGGAATCTAGTACCACTGTTCCATTCACAAAAAGGTGGCAAGAAGCAATGCCCCCCTACACATTAATGGCTAGTAGCAATGCCTCCTTACCCACTGATAGACTGTAGCAATACATTGGTGGACAGTAACAATGCCCACTACACATTGGTGGTCAGTACCAATTATTTTATTACAGGTACTTATAAAGCGCTGTCAATTTACGCAGCTCTTTACATATATTTTGTACATTCACATCATTCCCTAACCCTCAAGGGGCATACAATCTAAAGTCCCTAACTTACATTCACACATACTTACATACACACACTAGGGCCAATTTAGACAGGATCCAAATAACTTACCAGCATTTCTTTGGAGTGTGGGAGGAAACCCACGTAGGCAAAGGGAGAACATGTAAACTCCAGGCAGGTGGTGTCGTGGTTGGGATTCGAACCAACGTCCCTAGTACTGCCAGGCGGAAGTTCTAACAATTTAGCCAATGCCTCCTATACATTGGTTGTCAGTAGCTATACCCCATACACAGTGGTGGTCAGTAAAAATGCCTCCTATACATTGGTGGTCAGTAGCAATACCAACTACACATTGGTGCAGTTACTGACTTTGAACTTGGTCTGGTGGCAGCAGCATGGTGCTGGTAGTGGCAGAACACTGATGTGAAAAGGCAGTTAACCAGAGTCTCACAGAGACTTTTCAGGTGTCACTAAAGACTAAGGAATCCATCTCCTCCAGCAACAGTATAGAACCATACAGGCATGTTCTTTACAATGAGTGACTAATTAATTAAAGAAAACCCAATACATTTTTTTTTTGGTTGACCAAGCTTTCCCATCTATGAAGCTACCCGACATGTACTAGCGCTTTGCATTTTCCCTTCTTTCACAGAAACAAAAAAAGGAGATGGGACAACCCTTATTACTCTTGGAAAAAGAAGGTTGAAGTGGATTTTATGAAGCTGATATATTTTCTAATTAAGCAATATATATCACATTTTGTGTCCTTTAGCCATTTTAATGAAGTCTTACAAAAATAAACAAGCTTATAAAGTTAAGAGCCTAGAAAACTCACCTAGTAGTGGAGGCATGAGATTTTTGCTTTCAATATGTCTCAGCACAGTAGCAATGTGTTCTTTACAATCTTCCTCTTTGCGGGCAAAGTAGCCAAGTGCTTGCTCCCACAAAGAGCTCTCTTGCTCCCCATACTGTTTGCAAGCCTCAATTACTTCTTGGTATTGATTGTTTTGCATGTGGTAATGCATAATCTGCTGAAAACTAGGAGAAAGAAATCAATGCAATAAAAAAACATGCATTACTCACTCTTAGGCTGGCCATACATTATACAATTATCTTCCAATTTTCTGCCCAATTTCCTTTAGATTTACCTTCAACTGTGTAGTGCAAGGGCCTGCCTAATTGGATACAACTGAAAGTGTTGTTTAGGTTTGTCCTCCTAATATATGGTTTTTTTTGGTAAATCTAAACCAAAAATCTCCAGATAATTGTATAATGTATGGCCAGCCTTTGTCTTTATATAAACAGTCACTGAATGGATGTACTTACAGTTTGCCTTGTTCATACAAATACAGCACTCCTTTCTGAAAATTGTGCATTTGGCATAGGACAAGAGCTTTATCAAACACATTCTTAAAGCGCCCACTCTTCAGAAGAGTCATGACATCATTTTGGAGTTGTTGCCTTGCCTGTTAATATATTAGGTTTTATATTAGGTGAGGCACAGATAGCCTGACAGTAAAATACTAATCACACTGTAATGAGGCAGAGAAGAATTAAAAGGGATGATTTGGGTACGAACAATCATCACTTGAATTTAAAGCAGGTGTACACAGACACTGCTTGAATTTCACTAGTTATGTAACATTTTCTTTAAGGATTGTAACAAAGTGGTAGTGAACCTAAAACACAAATCAATCTGATCCTACACTTGAATAGATTTTACCTTTACTAAGCATTTGAGCTTAGTTTGGTATCTTGAAGCAATCCCCTTCTCCAGAAATCCCCCCTGCTCTTCTAAACAAAATAAATCTGACACAAGCAGAAAAAATGTTGCCACTCCCCTTCTGTGAGTGACAGGCTGTGCTGAAGACGAGACCAGCATGAGCCTCCATGTTATACACTACAAAAGGGGTGGGGGAGTGGGTGTCCTCTCCCTGCTGGTCTCTGCCTTCACAAGATCGAGAACTCAGCACCAGTGATTTATGACATAGATCGGCATCACTTCAGTATCTAGGCAAGTTTGCCGCCAGCTGATTATTTTCCTGCTCTATTCACAGCACCTAGCTTGTGAATTGCTGTTTACAGAGTTTTACATGAGAATGTTTCCTGTTCCACATTGCCACTTTAGGCTGCAGGATTCCTAGGATTTTTAACATTAACCCCTTCCTACCAGCTTTCTCCTGATTAGCACAGATCCTGTGCTGTAAGCAGAGCTGACAATCATTGGCACCCTGTGTATTCCCCTGAATGCACTCAGGAGACATGCTCGCAGGCATAGAGATGTCAGATAGCTGTGCAGGTTCTTGAGCCTAGGCTAGAGAGTGTGTATAACTGAGGGACTGTGTGACATCACATCTCTGCCTACCATTCTTTGGTCCTAAGCCATGCCCATAGACCAGCAGGTCTTTGAGGGCTGAGACAACCTAAGAGAGCATTTTTCTGAGGTACACTCACAGCTGTATGTACATTTACATCAAAATGTATTCATTTATGGCAAAAAAGTAAATTTTTTTTGTTATATTTGCATTTACAACCACTTTAAGTCTAGTCTACCAAACCGTTATCGAATAAGTGGAAGCCTAAGTTAGCCCCTGGCTTCTTATGTCTTGGACACTCCAACAATGATACCTCCTCACAATAATTAATCGACTCTGCTATTGTTCATCTTGCAGTTTTGGGTTTTCCCACCCCCTCTGCATGTTCCTGCACCTCTGGTTGCATTCTATACGATGCAGAAAAAATAAAAAGAATCCAAGAAAAAGATACTGAAAAGACAAGTCTCACCAACAAAGTCTATGAGAGATTAACGGTCAGGCAGTTTAACTCTTCAGCATTTAGCAAAAACTGAAATATCAATTTGGGGTGGAAAGATCCTTCAAAGCGAAGAACTAATAGGCACTTGTTTATTTGTGCTTGTAGATGTTAGTCTTGTATTCAGTAAGCATTTACTAGACATTAAGTAACTAGCTGCCTGCAGAGATCAGCCCAATAGCCCTTCAGGAGCTTGCTGAACCTTGCTAAATGCCTGCCATCAGAACCAGATTTCCCTGTCTTGCAATTAAACATCAGCTGGACAACTATAGGCTGTGCAAACATGCACGCATACAGGAAGGGCAGATGCTAAGCACACTGGGTACGTACTTGTGGGTCTCTCTCATGTGCCCAGTTTTGCAGACGTAATTCCAACAAAGTATCATAAACTCCTTGAGGTGAATCATTCTGTACTTGTATCATATGTTCAAGAAAGTTCTTTAATTCACAAGGATTGTTGGCAAAAATTGGAATGAACTCTTCAGGATTTGCCTGGAAAAAAAGCACACATGACCACATAAGAGAACAAAAAAAAAATAGAGCAAGTAAACGAAGGCCTCATGCATAATGACGTTTCATTTTACCTCCTCTAGAAGCCAGCATTGTTGTGGCCAAAAAGCACTTGGTGCTTGTAAAAGTGTGTACCACGTTTACCCACGTCAAGCATTTGGCCATTAATTAATTTCATTGAACAGAATAAATAATTTATTCTGGCTGTTTAAATGTATTGACGCTCAATTGCTAAACATGCCTAACATTTAGGCACATTTACACTCGTTTAAATGCATCGAGTGTTTTTTTTTAGCCAAACACTGCTGCTCCAGGATGCCCTGGCTGGGAAGGGGGGGGGGGGGGGGGGTTTCTGCCACAAAATGCTACTAAAATCCTATGTGTGCATGGACACACACGATAACATGCAGGGGAGTTTAGAGAGGAAGTACAAAAAAAAAAAAAAAAAAGCCGGATGCCCCAAGGAGCAGCTAGAAAAACATGCAGTATGCCTGAGTTGAAGATGGTAAACACTTTTTTTTTTTTTTTTTTTTTTTTTTAAATCCAAAACTTGAATGAAAGTACCGGTAATAAACATCAACCTATTACAGCATATTTAGACTAGAACATCTTCATAAAAGCATTTTATAGATTTATTATAGGCACAGAAAAGAAGTCGGAAGAACACAAGCTAAGGGATGACAGAAAAAGGAGATAGAAAGATAGAGAGAAACCAAGAAACAAAACCGCTCTGGGGAGGGGAAGGGACGGGTTTACATTCAGACAGATCTCTAAATTTGTACAAGTGTACAAAGTGTGCAAGTGTAAGAATTGATGCTGGTTTGAAGCCAAAGGGTAATCACACCAAATATTGATATTAATTTTATTTAGATTTTTATTCTGTTTACTCATTTTGGATTTTGTAAATGGATAAAAATAAACAAAATATATATCTTTTTGAAAGCATTCTAACTTTACAACATTTCTTCACACCTGCCTGAAGTTTCTGCACAGCACTGTACTTTTTTATACTTTTACATTTATAGTTCAAGGAAGTTTTATACTTTTTATTTTTTATTGTGTTGATTTATGAAGGGGGGTGTCAGGCCCTGAAACGTGGTGGATTTTGTAGCAGAATAAGATTATTTATATATTATACGAACTAGTGCTGAGGAGTGACAACTTCCTGTCCATTAACCTGCACCACACACACAGATTTACAACTGAAGCATGATGCCTGCCAATTTTCTGAAAGTTCAGTGGTAGGGTGCTTTTTGAGATGAAGGGGACCTTCAGTCATCTGTTTATACTTTGGGGTCGAGGCGTACTTTTCTCGCTTCAGAGCGTCTCTCTTGATGGTAAAGGCTCCTCTAAAATGTAGCTATATTGTTCTACTGCAGCAGCCATCTCATCCAGGGACTTGGGGTTCAGCCTGGGTCACCCAGCAGTACAGTTCTTTGTAAAGACCACACACACAAACTGATCCAGGGTGTTTGCTCTACAAACTTAATAAGGGTCAGCACATCAGGTTGCAGCCAGTCCTGGAACAGGTGCATCAGGATATAAAGCTGAACATTTGATTGTCCAATCAGACAGACGGACAAAATAAGGTCATAGTCAGATTCAGATGAAAGGTAAGGCCCACCCCTGCTTAGAGGGAGGAAGCAGCTTATCAGGAGGTTCCAAATTGCCATAGAGAAAAATAGCTGGAAGTGAGTGCACAGAAAGTGTCTTTGTGGCCCTAGGAGTTTAAAACAATCTTAGCTGGGAAACACTAACAGACTGGTCACCCAGTTTCAGAGTGGTACACACCACTGCATCAATAACAGCCAAACGGTTTCCTTTAATTGGGAGTGATAGCAGTAGTACACTGCAATTTCCCATAGGCAAGCTCATCAGTGAAGAACTGCAGAGACTCAGAATCAGCCTCTGCACTTTATGGCTCAGAAGCCAATAGGGCCGTTGGCAAACCAGATGTATATTCTGCCAAGGGTGGTGCAGAAGCACGCTAGTGGCTTCTGATCAGAGTCCTCAAATAAATGGGTGACATGGATCATCTTGCAATATTGCACAACCATGAAAAAACCTCAGCGGAAGCGGTAGAGTCACAGAAGACTCTTAGATAGAACAGACTCCAAAGTCAGAGGATAACATGATTTCAGGCTGCAGACATCAGCACCATCAGAAGAGTAAAGACTTCCTGTGTCCCTTATTAGACCAGAATGGAAATGATTTTAGCCATCATTTGCATAGAACGATTCTGCAGCATAATTTACAGTGTTCACTCATCACAATAAGGACCAACAACACGGTTTGTAGAATGATGTGAAGAAATCTTCTAAGACTTGGGAACTGCACCCATAAGAAGAAATGTGTATGCAACCATAGAGGGCAAAACTATGAAATCCTCCTTTACCCTGTGAGGGCAAAACAACAAACCAGGTTTGTGATCTCCATCGCTGAAAATTCGTGGAGGGACACAGTGTCATCATAATTGAAAGTAGTGGTAAAGGAGGATGATTAAACACAACTAAAACTCCAAAGAATAGGGAAGTAAAAGTGAAGAGAACACCTCAAAGACAGCAATGCAGGAGAGAATGGTGAGGAAGTAGTGGGGTGTGAAAAGTGCAAGGAGCGGTACTCAACCTCTCATAAAAATGTGCACTGGACCATAACCCACCTGCCAGTCATGGAAGCCCAATGATGAGCCAAGTACAAAGCAGGTCTGAAAACAGAGGAAGATGAGGATACAGCAGAATACAGTGAGAAGACATGCGGATTTTTAGCCTGTGTAGTTAAGAAAAAATAGACCAGAAAACCAGCAGGAGTACCCTTCTTAGCTGTTCTAAGTATAGAGCCAGTTCACATATAAGCGGACTGGATGCATTTTAAACTGCATCCAGTTCGCATTACATGTGAAATAACATTGCTTTCTATTGTGCCTGTTCACATTTATGTGGTGCACCCGCAGTGCGGATTCAGAGAGTCCTGTCCAATTTCTGAGCAGTGCGGTTCAGTTCAAGTGCAATTTACAGTCTCCTTAACTTCTTTGGGAATACTTCTGAACCACATCTAAACCTGTCCTGAACCGCTGAACAACTACTTTGTACAGAATTTGCAGCTGTATCAAAAATCCTTTCCTGAAATGCTTAAAGTGTTACTAAACCCAGGACTCTGCATTCACTATATATGGTCTCCCACAGAACATGGAAGGGCAATTATTTTAGTAAATAGAAACTGCTAAATACCATTACTCATCAGCAGTTAGAGCAGTCTTGTGACTTCTATCAGTGTTGAGCAAAGCACTGGTTAAAGGTTGTAGAAGGAGTTTTCTTTCTGCTCTAGGAGGATGTAAAACCCCTGACCTGTCTGGACAGTGCCGATTGGCCCCATGCTGATCTCCAAAGATAAAAAAAAAAAAAAAAACACCTCTCTAGCAATACACACTAAACTGTGCATGTGCATGTGGCTACGGATTCAGTCTGTTTTATCAGGTGGAGAAGTCAGGAGAAGGATCAAACAGCCTTTTTACACAATGCGTTTGCACCGCACTAGTGAATCCACACTGAGCATTTTGTTTTAAATAGAATTTTTATATCTGCTTTTCTTTATATAAAACAATATTTTATTTAAAAAGAAAAAACAAAACAACATTTAGGACATGACTAAGGATTCCCAGAATACAAAGGTATGTCTCTTCTGCAAGGTGTTAAATAAAACTACAGCAAACAGAATTTGGAGCAGCTGTGCATAGTAACCAATTAGCGTCTATTTTTTTTTCAGCTTCAGCTTTTTCAGTTACGCTTTGAAAATTAAAGCTAGACACTGGCTGTTTTGCACAGCTCATGTCTTTAAATATTTTAGCCAGAAACTAGGATGCTTCTTAAATGTAGATTCTTTATTGATTACAAAATACAAAGATTTTAACGCATTTGGCGAAAGCCTTCCTCATACATGCTACGCATTAGTATCTCTGGATTTTGTATCAACATTTTGTAATCAATAAAGAATCTACATCAAGAAGCATCAGAGTTGCCAGCTAACATCTTTAACCTGTTGGCGCCAGCCAAGCGCAAATGTGCGACCTACCGGCGTCCGGGCCTAGAAGCCGAGTGGCTGCACATTTGCGTTCTAATAAAAGAAAAACACATATGCGCTGAGAGCGCGCCCTGTGCGATCAGGACCTTTCCCGATCATGTGACTGCCGTGACAACGAATCACGGTGGTCACATGACCCTTAAACCCCATCCTGCCTCCCGGCTTCTGGAACCCTTAAAGGGCTGGGAAGCGCCAGCGCCAAGGGGTTAAGGACATGTGTTGTGGCAAGTGAACGGTTTTTTAAAATTCCCCTCATAGACTTCTCAGAGGGAGAGCTATACAATATAAGGGGATGAGATTCTGCTCTTGCTCATTCACTTCGTATGTGGAAATGTCAGTCTAATCTACTGAATTCTATATAGGACTTAAGAAGAAACTGAAAAATGTAAAAAAAAAAAAAAAAAAAAAAAAAGGAGCCTAAAGGTCTATCTGTTGTCCAAAAATGAAAATGGGTATCAAATTTGCAATGTCATGTATTCAATTTAACCACTTTCCCTTTAGAGCAATTTTTTTTTTTCCATTTTTCACACACCTGTTGAAGTCTGCATTTTTGGCTATAAAATTATTTAGAACCTCCAGAACATTATAAAGGTTTAGAACACAGAGACCCCGTAGAATAAAATGATCATGGTTGTAGTTTTTATGTTACAGAATTTTTGCTCAACGGTTTCAAGTTTTTGTTAGGAAAAAAATACACTACAATGCATCTGAGCACACACAAATATTTTTTTTACAAAATAACAGAACAGGTAGTGCCAAGTAAATAGATACCAGATACATCAAGACTCAAAGCTGCGTGCACCCGCAAAAATCACGGTATCCAAAATCATAAATAAATGTCTTTACAGCTCATAAGTTTGAGTTAAGGGGAGCACCGGACAACAGTGGCAGTTTAATTAATATTTTACATGTATTTTTTAAACGGCTTCTTACCAAACCACTGTACATAAACAGTCTCTCAGAACATGGGGCTGCGCAGCGGTGCGATCCTGTGATGGTTATGTCATGACAGATTGGGCTCTCTGACTGGCCCTCCCAAACACAGCCATCACACAATGTAAACAGAGGCAAGTGCCTCTGTGTCAGCTCTCCTCTTGAGCTCAGATCACTGCAGCCTGTCAGCTGTGTGTAGCTGATGAATTTTCTGTTCAGCTAAAACACAGATCACACAGAGTGCAGCGACCCCACACAAAAGTGTATCAAGCACCATCTGTCCCTTGTCCAAGTGCACATCAACATCTGTACCAGTGCAACAAAAGCATCTGCCACAGTGTACCAAAGCAACAAAAACATCTGCCAGTGTACCAGTGCAACAAAAACCATCTGCAATCGTGTCCCATTGCAACATCAACATCTGTCGGTGTCCACAGGTGGATGATCAGCATCTGTCACAATGTACCAGTGTCCCATCAACATCTCTGTCACAGTGTCCCATTGCAACATCAACACCTGTCTGTGTCCCGACACGTCTCCGGAATATCAATCCCACCAGAGATCCCGGAACAGAAGCTGGTGCTTCAGCCAGCTTACCACAGAGGCAACAGTGGACCCAAAAGGTCTCCGCTGACCTGTATGGTGTATGAAACTGGAAGCGACGAGTGCTGTAGTCACTTCCAGTTTCCCCTGATGTAAACAGCTCCACTTTTAATTGGGAAAAGCATCGATCGAGGTATGATCAAATACTTTTAGGGCAGAGGAGACAACTGGGGTCTAATAGACCACAGATCTCTCCATAAAGAGTACCTGTCACTGTCTATTGCTGACACAAGTAAAGTTCACATTCTTTGTGACAATAAAAGTGAGCAAAAAACAAAAATTTAAAGAAAAACAGTGTAAAACAGTGTAAAAGTAGAAAAAAAAAAAAATCTAAATAAATAAAAAATTTAAAGTGCCCCTCGTCCAAAGGCGAACACACGCATTGGTCCCCTACGCATACGTAAACACATGTGAGGTATTAGAGCAAACAGCAAACATCAGAGTGAAAACAATAATTCTAGCACCAGACCTCCTCTAACTTTAAACTGACAGCCTTTAAAGGTTTATAAAAGTGTCACCTATGGAGTTTTTTAAATACTGTAGTTCGGCACCATTCCACAAGCGTGTGCAATTTTAAAGCACATCATGTTTGATATTTATTTACTCGGTGCAGCACCATATTTTATAATACCAAAAAATTGGGTATTATATCGTGTTTTTGTGCATTAAAATTCAGTAAAGTGTATTTTTTCCCAAAAAATTTAAATAAAACTAAAGCACAAATACCATGTGACAAAAAAAAAAAAAAAGATAGCAAAACTCACTATTGCCTATTGCACTAAGACCTGCTCTTAAAGTGAATTATAGTAAATGGTTAAAACACGCAAACCCATACCCAAACCTAAATCATGTACAAAGCAGGAAACACAACAAGAGGATATCCCCTCCAAATCACAAATCAAAGAAATAGCTAGTGTTGTGCTAAGTGACATTTGCATACATCAAAAATTTACATAAATATACAAATGTGTCCAATAAAGGATAAACAAAAAGTGCTCAGTAGTGAACCATTGCCAGAAATAGATATTTTGAAAAAATATATGAAACAGTCCTTAGAATAAGGGGACTGTTTTATATATCTTATGTGATGATTTCTATTACTCATCACAGAATAAGGGGACTGTTCTATATACCTTATAAGGACGGTTTTCATATATGTTTTTTCAAAATATCTATTTCTGCCAATGGTTCACTATTGAGCATTTTTTGTTTATCCTTTATTGGACACATTATTTATGTAAATTTTTGAAGTATGCAAATTTCACTTAGCTATTTACATAAAGTGAACAATGCCTGAAGGTGCCCCTGGGATGTTTGTTTTTTTCTATGTGGCTAGGATGTGAAAAAAATCTCACATATGTAGTATCCCCATACTCTGGAGTAGCAGAATGTGTTTCGGGGTGTAGCTGCAAGTATGCCTATGCCATGTGTTACAAATAACGTATTAATATGACATTTTTGTGAAAAATAAAATGTATTTAATGTCTTCATTTTCCAAAGAACTCACCATGCCTCTTACTAAATACCTTGGACTGTTTACTTTCCAAAAAGGGGTAATTTGGAGGGTATTTAATACTGTCCTGGCATGTTACTGTCTCAAGAACTAAGGAAGTCAGTACATCAGATGAGATTGATTTTCAGTGATCGGTACCATAGCTTGTAGACTCTAACTTCCACACAGATCAAATAATACACACTGATTTGGGTTATTTTTACCAAAGAAATGTAGCAGTATAAATTTTTATCAAAATTTGTGACGAAAAATTACTTCTTTGCAAAATTTAAAAAAAAAAAAACGAAGATAAACACTTTTTTTTTCCAAAAGGTTTGCTCTTTTTTCATTTAAAGCATGCATTTTTTTTAATCCAGTCGTGATTAAATACCAGCAAAAGAAAGCTCTATGTGAAAAAAATTATAACTGAAAATTGGCCTGTGCAGGAAGGGGGTGAAAGTGTCTAGTATGGAGGTGGTCAAACGCTTTTTTTTAACCTTTGCTTAAATTTGTTGCTATTACAAGAAGGCTAACAAGCTAGCATCTGGCAGGTGTGATGTACTCTTTGAAGACGTCAGATGTATATTAGACTCCATGGGGTTTATTTACTAAAGCTGGAGAGTCCAAAATCAGACTCCCTTCTGCATAGAAACCAATCAGCTTCCAGGTTTCATTGCCAAAGCTTCATTGAACAAGCTAAGGTTAGAAGCTGATTGGTTTCTATGCAGAAGGGAGTCTGATTTTGGACTCTCCAGCTTTAGTAAATAAACCCCCATATGTCTTCCATGCCCTCTGCTTGAGTGAATCAAACACAGGACTAAACCAGGTTTTCTGCTGGAGTTTTGACAGCTGTGAACTGGAAAAGCCGAGAGCTGAAGAGGATAAAAAAAATGATCAGCTCTTAGTATGGTAAGTGAATGTTATGGTAGCAGTATTGGTAAATAAACGGTTTCTTTTCATGCAAATTTCCTCAGCACATTTACTTTGCTTTCAGCAGCTGGCACTCACCTTCTTTCCTCCCTCATGCTGAGCAAAGTTGGTACACAAGTCTTTCAACAGCTGTGTTGTCTCATTGGGCACATGATACATAAGTATTTTTCCATAGCACTTCATATTGCTTTCTATTTGAGGGAAGGGAAGGCGTCCAATGTATCTCAAAGCTTCTTGAAAATTCTATAATGAACACAGAATAGCTTTGAAAATACATATCAGGTATATATTTCTGAAAAACAATCATCTTACTTGTCTTTTGGTAATTTACAATTCCTTGTAGTAAAATGGGCATACACACCAAGACTAGGAAGCTTAAAGCGATATTATACCCCGAACCAAAAATGTAATGTAATGCAGCTTACCAATCATTAGATGAGGTGGTTGCATTTATTTTGGTTTGTTTTTTTAGGCTTTTTTACCCTCTATTTTCACCTGGTGATCTGGCCAGTAACACATCTCCTGTATCAGAGTACTCCCACATCTGATGAATGAGCACAGGGGGCACAGCACAAAGCAGCAACGTTAGTCTAAGGGGGAGGGGAGTGGTTAAATGTACTAGCAGATTTAGACACTCTTAACAAATTGAGACCAAACTCCAGCTCACACTTTATGATCAGTTACAGCACACAGTTTTTTTTTTTTCCTTTTTGGGATAATGTTATTACATAAATAAATAAAAAGCTGATCATTGTAAGCACCCCTACCAGTGCACAATGGTTTGCCCCAACCCTGTAAACTGATACATTCTGCTGAAGAGCGTGTTCATTTACAAAACAGACTTACTAGCTGGATCACCAGGCGCAAAATAGAAGAATGCAAGTCTAAAAAAGAAAAATAATGCAGACATCAAATGTTGAGCTTCTGCTTTTCTGGATAAGGAGCTTGCGATCCTACCCACGCTGTCATTGGCTCCCTTACTTGTCAATCACTGGGTCCCGGTCAAGGATTCATGGCGGGGACCTGGAGATTGGCAGAGCAACTGACAGGAGAGAGATCTGTAAATGTAAACACAGATCTCTTTCCTGTCAGTGGGGATGTGCCAGTTTTTATCTCCCTGAAAAGCAGTGAATAAAAACCAGCACATCCCCTAGTAACACAGTGCACACCCATAACACATAGTTAACCCTTTGATCATCCTAGATGTTAGCACCTTCTTGCCCAGCGCCATTAGTACAGTGAGTGCTTTTTATTAGCACTGATCACTGTATTAGTGTCACTGGAGATGTCAGTGGCAGTTAGTCAGTTCCCACCCAGTGTCAGAAAGCCCGCCTTACTATCACAGTCCCGCTATAAAGTCGCTGATCACTGCCATTACTAGTAAAACAAAAATAAAATCCAGTATCTATACCATTGCTTGTAGATGCTAGAATTAAAATTAATTAATTAAAAAAAAACACCTATGTGCAACATGTGTACAACCCTGGCCATTGCAAATAAAGGGGGGGGGGGGCAGTTGGGGCTGGGGTGGTAAAAACTATGGTGTTTTACCACCCACCAAACTGCAAATGTAACTGTAAATGAACCCTTACTGTTCTGAGCCCCCTATAAAGCTGCTTTCACACTAACGTGCTGCGGTTTACCTGCACCTCAGGTGCAGCATAGTGCATCTGCGACTTTCCTGAGTTAGCTGCGCTTTGCCAAATACTTCTATAATACCCTGCAGGTGTGGTGCACTTTCTGAAAGCACACCAAAACTCCTGCATTCAGGAGTATTGAGGCGCTTTCAGAAAGTGCAGCAAACCCCCAGGATATACCAGAAGTTTATGGCTAAGTGCAGCAAACCCGCAGGTACACTGAACTGCACTTGTGGTGTGGGTGTAGGTGGTGTGGAGCAGTGCATCAGTGTGAAAGCAACCCTAGTCTCTTATGCCCAGTTTATTGCTTCACACTGACCTGAAAATCTCTTCTTTCCTGCTGTTGGCACCATTCTGGAGACCGCTAGCTGGTATAAGAGGTGGAGTGCAGTTGGTATCACTCCACATGGGACAGAAACCAGCACTACAGAACAGGCACAGACTTATGCGGATCTTGCTCCCTTCCACATCTCCAACTTTACAAGTAGTCCCTCTTCATTGCACTCTAATGCTCTGGAAATGTCGGGTCAGCAAACCCAGACCGCAGTCTACCAGTCACCTGGCTGCAATCTATTGGTAGACCGCGATCTACAGGTTGTGCACAGTGCAGTGTTGCATGACCGAGCAATTGTCAGTTAAAAGTAGCGTATAGAAACAAACGGCCTGGTCATGAAGGGGGGTAAATCTTCCAGAGGGCAAGTGGTTCAACTGTGGATTATACAAAGATGAGGTTACCATTCATCCCTGTTTGGTAGGTCTGTCCCTAGAAAACTAACATATCTGACAGAGTTCCCAGAGGCAGTAAATGCAAATTAGTCAAACACGGAAAGCTGTTTCTCCGTTTTTTTTCAGTGCAGTTCCACCGGTGACATTGCGAGGAAGTTCAGCTTGAGGCTCTAGCAATATGGTGGACTTTGTGACCTCTAAAATGTTGTGGTGGCAGTTTCAAAGTTTGTGACCTCAGATGGGTGAAGACCACTGGTGTGGTGTTCCTGCTTATGGTGGGGGCCCTGCTTGCCTGGCCTTCCAATCACCATCCACCCTGGTCAGAGTTGCAAGAAAACCACTTACCTTGATATCTTCGAGCTGTATTTTTAAGTACCATTCATGATGGGCATGCTTCTCTGCCAAGTACAGGGCATGTGAATGGTAACCAGCTTGCCGAAGAACCTTGATAGCTATTTCTACATCAAAATGTACCTCATCCACGCTCGCCTGAGGAATAGATGAGCAAAGTTGTTGAGTAACACAAAACCTAAAAACAATGCCTATTATGATGAAAAACAAAAAATTAAAAAAAAAAAAAAGAAGAAGAGGTACAGCCAAATCTTGCTTGGCTGTACTTCTCCTGGGGATCACAGGAGTGCAGTTCGTTCTGCACGCCTGTGACCCGTTGTTGGTTGACATCACAGAGCCAGTCATGTCTGGGGAAAAATTTAGACCATATAGTTGGGATCCACCCGGAAGCCTGGACCGCCACCTGGCTCAGCCTCCCATTGTGCCACTGAGAGACTGAGCCAGTTGCTCCCGCCCCCTCCACAGCCCACCACTCTGAGCGCTGGAGGGGGGGGGCAGAGCAGAGATCCAGAGACTGACAGTCCCAGCTCTCTGCTCAGAGCGGTGGGAAAACTGAGCAATCAGCAGTGTTTGATCGCTCAGTTCTAAGCCTTAGAGCCGTCGGGGGATTGATGCTGAATCCACCTAGGTAAGAAGATTAAAAAGAAGAAAAAAAAAAACAATACTTTTCTTTTAAATAAGGCTCATACAACTGATACAATTGCAATTAATTAAACAAGATATATTAAACATTATCCTGAAGAAATGGAATGATTTGAAGGAATGTCAAGTAGAAAACTAAAGAGCGGAAATAAGTAGCTGTGCTCACTTTAATGAACTCCTCCAGATGAGCGCTGTCCTTTAGCTTTGTGTAGCAGTTTAGTAAGAGAGTGGTGTGGTCTGCATTGGCTAGAGATTGTAAATGCAAAGCCTGAAGGTACGCTGTCAAATTATGTATCCTTTGGGCATCTAGAAATTTTCGGATAACATAGGAAGGCTCTAATTTTCCAATTGTGCTGTAAAAGAAAGGAAATAAAGCAACTGAATAGATATGTTGAATACTGGATACATAAAGCAAGCAATAAACAAAAAAATAAAAGTTGGTCAGGAAAGCAACAAACAAAAAAATATACAGTTTGTCAGTCAAGAACAATCTTCTTTTCAATAAACAGTCTGAAAATTTTTTAAGTCAGCTCACCATGATGACTGCCCTGGTGACCAAACATTCTGTCCATAAACTCCCCCACTCTGACCTGCATTGCCTGATGGGCAATCTGCTGATAAGCAGGACCCAAGTTCCTTTATGCCAGGGGTGTCCAAACTTTTTTCAAAGAGGGCTAGATTGGATGAAGTGAACATGGTGGAGGGCCGAACATTTTTCCGAACATTCTTTGAACCATTACAATTAAATGCAAATAAATTATTTTTATGCCAAGTTAATTGCAAACGACATACTTTTCATTTCATAACATTAAGATCAACTGACAGCTGAGTTTTCACAATGTATTGAAAATAAATTTAAAAAAAAAAAAAAAACTTACCTGCACTAATGTGAAGGGTGAAATAAGGTAGCTGGAGCTGAAGTCTCTGCTCGGCAGCCGGGAGGGGAAGAGAAACACACTTCACGCTGGAAGCCCGGCCCTGACGTCACCGCCCTCTGTCGCTCCCAGCGCGGCGCAGTCACGCATGCGCACTGCTCTCAAGCAGAAGACTGTCTGCCACAGAAGGGAGGGCCGTGTGACAGCCGCATTTACACAGACCAGGGAGAACGCGCCGCAGTCAGGTATGCGCACTGCCCTCTGCTCTCAAGCAGAAGACTGTCTGCCATAGAAGGGAGGGCCGTGGGAGGGCCACATTACACAGAGCAGGGAGGGCTGTTGGAGGGCCGTATTAAACCGACCCACGGGCCGTAAATGGCCCGCGGCCGGACTTTGGACATGCCTGCTGTATGCACTATATCTTGTGATTTACGGTCAGCTTCCTCTCACATAACAGAATACAGTAAGCTTCATTCTGGTAGAGAAGGAAAACAGGTTGTCCATCTGAAAATTAGTTCTGAGTAGGGGAGCTATGCTATGACACAGGGTACTTTATATAGTCATGATTATTTGGTATTATGCAGTCACCTTAAAGTGAACAAACACTTGGCAAAAATAAAAAACCCTCCCACTTAAGCCGCAGTTTTGTAGTAAGCAATGAAGAGCACAGAAAAGAGAGAAAGTTTTCCTGCGTCCTTTGATATACTCAAGAAAAGGATTTTTTGCAGATAAGCCAAAAATTCTTAATCATACCTCAAATGGCACAAGGTACTTCATATTCAAGACTGCTTAGGATGTCCCAAAGCAATGAATATGAGGAGTGGACAACACATACCAAGGCCAACACACCCAAAACAGAAACACAAACAGAATTGGGAAGAACCCTACTACAAACCTTTTGCCAAAATCTTGCATCTGCAGGGGTGTGAATATCTACCTAGAATTTAGTAAACAAGTGAAGAGAAGACCGGGTAGCAGCTTTACAAACATGATCAACAGAATCGCTCGGTAAACACTGACACCTGGTGGAATAGGCCGTGATCAGGAAAGAAGAAACCTTGCCCTTAATAGCACATGTCTAGAAAATAAGCTGGCAAAACCACTTTGAAATAGTGTATCAGGAGGCACCCAGACCCTTGCAAGGACCCTCAGGTAGGACAAACAGGGACACCTTGTGCTGATGTGCAACCAGGAAGAGTTTCTTACAGGAAAGTGCGACCAACTCAGACCTTGTGTTCCGAAGTAAAAGAAAAGCTTGCGTGTAAGGAGTGGATTTCTCGGGGAGGAGAGAAAGGACCAAATTAGGGTCCCAGGAAGACAAAGGGGGCAGCAAAGATCTGCCCCTTGATAGTACTGAAAGCCAGGGACCTCTCCACACCAGACTGGAAAAAGGACAAAATGTGCCCCTCAACATAATGGTTGGTGTTGACAATTATGAGCCTCACAACTGGTGAAAAAGGCTTTCTGTGTATAGAATGTATAGCACAGTATAAAATGGAGCCTGCCTTGAGTCATTTGAGTTTACTTTCAAGTGTAAAAACTGTTTGAAATTGCTCAAGAACTGCCTTATACTGTATATATCTAATATAATGTACACCTCTAGGTTCATTCACATGAGCGCTTAAAGTGTTACTAAACCCAGGACCCTGCATTCACTATATCTGGTCTCCCACAGTACACAGAACATGGAAATGCAATTATGTTAGTAAATATAAACTGCGAAATACCTTTTCTCATCAGCAGTTAGTGCAGTCATGTTATTTCTATCAGTGTCCAGCAGAGTACATGTTAAAGCTTGTAGGAGTTTTCTTTCTGCTCTAAGAGGAGGCAGAACCCCTGCCCTCTGTCTGCATAATGCTGATTGGCTCTGTGCTGATCACATGTACTCTCTCAAGAAAAAAAACAAAAAAAAAAACAACACATCTCTAGCAATACACAGCAAACTGAGCATGTGTAGAGTGTCTCCACACGATATGGTTTTGTACTAGTACTGAGTTGTGTGCAGGCAGTCCATATAAGTGAATAAACACGAAAATATACAAACTCATCCATCGAGCTGCATTTTACAGGTACGCAAGGACAGATGCATGGACATAGTCATGCTTTAAGTCGAAAAACCGAACGTTTGATTGGAAAAAACTCATGATTGTGCCATCGTTTGTTTAATTTTTCTAAAAAAAAAAAAAAAAAAAAAAAAAAAAAAAAACCCCCAGCATGTTGGATCAGGCACTTCCAATTGCAGAATGAAAATTGCATGTTGCAGCTGGCATCTTAATGATGCAAAAAGTGAACGATTCGAAGATCAAAAATAATTTTCATTCAGTTTTCAACTCATCTGTGGCCAGCTTTAGACACAGAGGCATAGTTTCTCACACACAAGGGTGAAAATCTGCCATGACAAATGTTTATGAGAAGATTAGAAATTCAAATTTTCCTTAATGGAAAGTAAAAAATGGAGATACTGTGAATTCAAAGCTTCTGCGAATGTTTATTATCTTGTAATTTTTTGGTGCTGACTGCATATCACTGAAATATGCTGGCTGCTATTTATATTTAGAAATATTAGCACAGACTTTTTCTGCTTTGCAAAGTATGAATAAACCTGGCATGTACCCTAATCTGAATATTTTGATTGGACCAACATTTCTGAACAGGCATACCGGATATATTGTTGGATGGCCCCATCATGATCTCCTTTACTATATAGATGATCTCCATACTGGCGAAAGATCTCAGACAATCCATCACTATCCAGGTGCTGACTTTTTGCCAGAGAAATGGCCATTACATACAGGTTTTTCTTAAACAGCATCTGTAGTAGGTACAAAAAAAAAAATGTATATAATATATATGGATATCTCATCTTTTACCCTTCCTTTAACCTTTACATTTTGCCAAAGTTCCAAGCTCTCTTTTTTTCTCCTCTATGGTTTCCTTTTTCGCCTTTGTACTTTAAAATGCCAGCGTTCTGTCAACTTACTTACTATTGTGAACACCAGTAGTAATAAAAAGTAAAAATAAAAAAATATGTTTACATTTTATGTTTTACTAAAGAAACAACTTTTTATTTCACTATCTCAAACCTATTGCAAATCCCACCACTAGCCATTTCTTGTCCTAGGGTAGAGCTCTTTTCTGAGCATAACGAAGATATTCTGTATCTGCTCTGATTAGAACCTGCCTTTATCCATGGAGGCTTTAGCAAGCTGTAGAAACAAGCAAATACACTTGCTATTGTCACATTTGCAGTGGGAAAAAAAGGCAGATTTTTTTACTTAAAGTGATTGTAAAGTCAAATTTTTTTTATAATTAAAATAATAAAAAAAAGTTTAAAAATACCTGCTCTGTGCAATGGTATTGCACGGAGCAGCTGCTTACCTCCCTCTTATGGGGTCCCCTGCTGGCGCTCTCCACTCGTCCTCTTCTGTGTGTACCCCATAGCATCCATAGGAACACACAGCCCAGATTGTCCCTGCCCCCACTCCCTCCAGGATTTGATTGACAGCATCCGGAACCCAATGCTCTCCACTGCTATCAGCAATGCCTGCAAGAAGACTTGCAGCAAGGCACATTGTTGGATCAATAAAGGACGCAAGCAAGTCTTGGTGCATTAGGGTAAACTAAAAACTTTAGTGTTTAGAACTACTTGGAATGGAAATTCCTCATCTTAGAGTATATTACAGGACAAAGGATTTGCCTTTATAAACCATATATTCTATGCAGGCTACTTTCATGTGATTGAACACTGGCAAAAAAAAAAAAAAAACAACTTTTAATTAGGGCCACCCATACTGCACGCTCATATAACCCTACCCACTGCTGTTTTTATGCAAGCAATAAGGAGTGACCACAGAAAACAGAGGAGAGGGGCATGTGTCCTGTATTCCAAGATAAGAAAATTTACAGGTAAGTCAAAAATCCATTTATCCTAATTGTAGAGTACAGGACACAGGACTTGTACTCATAGACCCTGAAACTCCCCGAGCAAAACTGAGCAGTGGGCAACAGAGAAAACAGAATTTGCAAGAGGACCATAAAAAAAAATGCAAGGATTAAGGAACCCAAAAATATTCAGTTGACAGCTTGAGGCACCTTGTAGCCAAAGCTCACATCTGTCAACCTGAAGATGTCAACATGATCAGGTGGTGGCCCAGTGGCTTGATGCAGGAAATCTCAAGAGACAAAAACAGACTTGGTGGAATGAGCACTGATAGGGAAAGGAAACTTTTCTTTAAAAGCACAGGACCTGGAAATAAGTAGTCTGATCTAGCAATTGTGGAATGAGAGGCAGATGTCCTCTACAAGGGCCTGCAGGTAAGACAAAAAGGGACCTAATTTGTAAACAGAAACCATGGCTGTCAGATATACTCTGACAGCCCTAATGACATCCAAGCAATATATGGAAATTTTTCTTGGCATGTTCTGGAGGACAGAGGCAATAGAGAACAATAACCTAATTGAGCTGGAGGCTAAAGACCACATTAGGTAGAAAAGGTGGTCTTGGTTTCAAGGCCACCTTGTCCCTGTGCAAAACAAGAAAGGCTTTTTGCAAGAAAGCTGCCAGCTCTGAAACATGTCTAATAGATGTAATGGCCACCAGGAAGACAACTTTACAGGTGAGGTGTGCTAAGGGGATATCTCCAATCAGCTCAAGGGGGGGTGGAGTCTCAGAAGTACCAAAAAAACAGGTTTAATCCCAAGGCAACATAGAAAGCAAGACTGGGGAATTTATATCAGCAATTCCATGAATTGCAAAGGAAAGTCTTGATTAAGAACTGCAAAGAGATTTCTGGCAGAGAATGGATAAGGTAAAAACCATTGCCTGAAAAGGGCAACACCACTTTCATGGGAAAATTAATACAGCATATACAATTGCGACACAAGCCATTTTGTAATAAAGCATTATTAAAAGTTACATTTCCTTTTCAATCTGTAGTGCTGTCATTTTCTGTAAAATACAATGCAACATGGCAACCTGGAGGCGTTCTGTACACAGATGGTGTACGGAACCCCCCCCCCCCCCCTCCCTCCTCCCCAGACATGTCATTTCCTGCTTGTGTGATTGGCTCACTGATTTTCCCAATAGTCTGCACTAAGATACAAATCAGATTTTGAGCATTCTTTGTAACAAAAATTTCAAAGGGCAATTACGTTTAAAAGGATTCAGACTCTGCCACTTTTGCCATTAGAGCCCTGCAAGTGCACCAGCTGATTGAGAATTGTAAAGTCACTCCCATTCATATTTACTTTGTGCATGGACACAGACAAACAGCTATTTTTTTCAGAAAACAGAAAAAAGGTAGGAATCTGCAACAAAGAGGTTGTAAAGGAATTTAAAAAAAAAAAAAAAAATAACAAACATGTCTACTATACAACAGAATTGCACAGAGCAGCCCCGATCCTCGGGTTGCCTGCAGCGCTGCTGGCTGCTCCCCTCTTTCTGGTGCTCCCAATAGGAAACCAATTCCCATAGAATGCATTAAGGTAAAAAACCTTGAGGCTTTAGAACCACTTTAATTTCCTGGCAATGTACAAAGAGATCACCCAGAGATCTGGAAAGGAACTTCCGGTTGTGAAGATAAAAAAGGAACTACCAAATATAAACAGGCGAACGTCGCAAATGCTACACTTTAGGCCAAATTGTGAAACAAGATAGATAGAGAAAGACACAAAGTGTGCAAGTCCCCTTACATCTGTCTTCACGAACTGCTCATGTGCATAGTATTGTGGTATATCTTGTAGAATAAAGATGTAGTATATACTAGAGCAGGAGTCCTCAAACTACGGCCCGCGGGCCACATGCGGCCCGCCGAGCACATTCATCTGGCCCGCTGGCAGGGGACACTAAGTACAGGGGCAGGCAGGGGGCTGCTGTCTCTTTTAGTAAAAGATAAATTTTAGAGGTTTAAATATAAATTGCTGTATCACCCAATATATGGCTTCCGTCCAGTAGCCAAAAAACATGCAGGCCAAAAAGGGATTTGTGAAAAGAGATTCACAGGAAAACGGCTACATTATGAACAGAATGTGATACTCAGAAAAATTTCCAAAAATTATGCTTTATTACACATTAATAATTGACACATGGGCAATCGCCCTGGTTTACCATCACCTCAGTATGAGACAATACACACAGACCTAAAACCATTAAAATCACACCAAGACCGGTCTAGATATATGTGCTGCAAAGGCTATGACCACCATAGTCTAAAGCATTTGCAGCACTTGCACATTGGTTACACTCCCTGTAGAAGGTATATTAAAAAAATTATACCATAGGTATGTAATATCACATGCTATAACTATAAGCACATATTGTTACCATATAGGTTACACTCCCTAAAGGAGATTTTCCAAAAATTATACCATGGGTATAAAATGTCACATGCAAGCAAAAAAAGACAGATACAGTTACCATCTGGAGAGAAGCATAACCCTAAGCCTATATAAGGCAATGTGGGTAAAACATTGAATGAAAAGGGGGAATTAACCCCACTGATATAGTAATGGATTCATGCAGTACAACCCTATGAAGGTACATGTGGTTGGGACCCTTTTATCTGTAATATACGTGGGAGGAATAGTGTCCCAATTATTATCACTGATAATGATGGGGTATTATTCCTCCCACTGACACCAACGATGGGGCACTATTCACCCACTGACACCAACGATGGGGCACTATTCCGCCCACTGACACCAACGATGGGGCACGATTCCTCCCACTGACACCAACGATGGGGCACTATTCCTCCCACTGACACCAACGATGGGGCACTATTCCTCCCACTGACACCAATGATGGGGCACTATTCCTCCCACTGACACCAATGATGGGGCACTATTCCTCCCACTGACACCAATGATGGGGCACTATTCCTCCCACTGACACCAATGATGGGGCACGATTCCTCCCACTGACACCAATGATGGGGCACGATTCCTCCCACTGACACCAATGATGGGGCACGATTCCTCCCACTGACACCAATGATGGGGCACGATTCCTCCCACTGACACCAATGATGGGGCACGATTCCTCCCACTGACACCAATGATGGGGCACTATTCCTCCCACTGACACCAATGATGGGGCACGATTCCTCCCACTGACACCAATGATGGGCACTATTCTCCCACTGACACCAATGATGGGGCACTATTCCTCCCACTGACACCAATGATGGGACACTATTCCTCCCACTGACACCAATGATGGGACACTATTCCTCCCACTGACACCAATGATGGGGCACTATTCCTTCCACTGACACCAATGATGGGGCACTATTCCTCCCACTGACACCAATGATGGGGCACTATTCCTCCCACTGATACCAATGATGGGACACTATTTCGCTCCATAAGACACACTTGGGGGGGGGGAAATGCCTGTGCGTCTTATAGAGCGGCCAGCCCAGTATTCCCACCGCCGTTGTATGTCCGCAGTCTCTGAACAAATGCGGACACAGTACAGGAGATGACCATAGTTTTTTTTTTTTTTAAAACTATAGTCCGGCCCTCCAACGATCTGAGGGACAGTAAACTAGCCCCCTGTTTAAAAAGTTTGAGGACCCCTGTACTAGAGCCATCAAGACATGTAAGCCAGGAACTAATATATTAAGGAATACAGACAAGCCTTGTCTTACCTTGTTCACATTACTGGTTACATAGTTAGTCTGGCTGAAAAAAGACAAAAATGCTTCTAGTTCAACCAAAAAAAAAAAAAAAAAATTATAATCCTATACCAACAGTTGATCCAGAGGAAGGCAAAACAAAAAAACAAAAAAAAAAGAACCCAACAAAGTATGATCCATTTTGCTCCTGCAGAGGAAGAAATTCCTTCCTGATCCCCCGAGAGGCAATCGGCTATTCCCTGGATCAATCTATATAATATTAGCATCAAGTTATATTCTGTGTATCCAAGAAAGAATCCAGGCCTTTTTTAAAGCAATCCACTGAGCTGGCCAGAACCCGTTCAGTGTCCAGACCCTTAGAGGGGTTTTGAGGGCCTAGGCCTAGAGTACAGAATTTCGAGGTTCCGGAGCCGAAGCAAACACTACAAGTCAGCCCCATGACAGCAGAGTCCAGGTATGGTTCCCAAGCTATGCTTGAGGGTCACCAATCCGTATACTGTTAATGAGGCCTGAAGATAGTAAGCAGAGATTGATCTTGACAGAAGTATAGGTCGAAGGCAGTAGTGAAATATGGTGAAAAGATAGTAGGAAAAACATCTCAAAAGGGCAAAGTCCATCACCTAGGAACACTAGCAAAAAAACTGGGATGTTTTTGTGTACAATCACCTGAAGGTTGCAGCATATAACCCACGGTCTATGAATCGATTCCAGTGTCTTGTACTGTATAAGAAAAGTTTGTTTTGATTTTGCCAGGCTCTTAATGCCCATAGTGCGTTGTTTTGCCTTTGGAAACTCAGGTACTGCTAGACAAAGACAAGTTCACACTGCATCAGGCAGAGTGTTTACAGTAGACTACATTTTTCAGGAAGCCTTGACTTGTGGCTCATAAAATACAGGGGTTGCAAATAGTCATAGCCCTGTGCAAGCAAATTTAGAACTTGTTTCTTACTCAAAGTTTTCCGGCTGTTTCTAGCAGCTGATTGGAGTGAAAAAAACTACATTAAAATGACCCTGTTGCTTTGCCCTGCAGGGGCCTACGGAACACTAGACAAGCAAGTGCTTATCAGGGCCAGTCACTGTATCAACATATAAAATGCAAGTCTGTGCCTGTCAAGCTTGTGAGTTTGTGTGAATGGAACAATCCAAAAAAGGCACTGCAGGCTCTGGCCTGTAACAGGAAAACCAGCAACCTGGCAGGGGTTCATACTCTTTCTAAAGAGGCTCTAGCCTTTGGGGGGTGGTGGGCTACGAGATATACAACTGTTCCCTGACCCAGCTTCAAATGAATCTAAACATTCGCTAATGTCTAACGTGCATCTTTAGTCGGTTACAAACCAGTATCCAACAAACATGAAAGAAGGTCTGTACTCTGTATTCAATGCTTAAAGAGTAATTCCACTTTTGTTTAGAAAAAACAATTCCCCTCAGGGTGATCTATGTATATTGCAGGGATTTTAGCAAACGTTTTGCAGATTTCTGGCTTTTGATATTCTGAAGAAATAGCGGTTTGTTTGTCTGTGTCCATAAGCAAAGTGAATGGGAGGGATTTTATAAATCTCAATCAGCTGCTGCACTTGCAGGGTTCTGATGAGGAAGGTGGCAGGGTCAGCATTCCTGTAGGCTTCCAGGTTGCCCTATAGCTTGCATTTTATAGAAAATGATGGCACTGCAGATTGAAAAAAAGGAAATTTTTAATAACAATTACAATAAGATTTGTGTAGCAATTGTATGTGCTATATTTTTGTTTTATTATTGCTAAAAAATAACCATACCAATAAGTCTTCCACTAAAATAAGTTGAAAAGATGGTTACCTCCAGTTTAGTCTGTGTGTCCTTCTCATGGAAAGCATGCAGGAGGCCATCACGCGTCAGGACATAAAGAGAGCCCCATTCAGCCAAAACATCAACCACCTCAGTCAATGTGCAGCTGTATGCAATAAGCTTGTTTCCCAAATCGTAAATGGTCAATGTCTGTCTGTCAGGTGCATGGCTATCTCCTGAGCGTGCAGCAAAGTCTGATCTGCAAGTGAAGCACATGTGTGTGACAAAGCAAAAGCAAAATAGACAACAACAACAATAACATACTGGGAAAGTACCTGAATGTTGGAATGAAAATAAACTATTACCAAAAAAATAAATAGCAAAAAGCCTTAGGTTGGCTGCAAGCAGAAGTAGTAATTGAAACTGCTGACCTCTCTCTTGTTACAACGATCAGATAGCCCCGATACCAATGCACAATCAATTTCTGTCCTTCAAAAGCAAAGCAGGGTCCTCTCTCGTCTGGTTGGTATAAATATACACATTCATTACCAGCCACCACAAATTGCATGTCTTGGGATGGGTCAGACAAGGCTGAGCACCGCAGCCCGCAGCCGTGAGAATCTAGTTCTGTGAATGGGTAATCCTTATGTGTCAACTCATATGCCTGAAAGAGTAAAAGAAAAAAAAAAAAGCATAAAAAATTAGAATGATTCCACAAGAAATAAAGTAGAACAAAACTATCACAAAATAAATTAGTTTTGATTAATAATAAAATTGAATAATTTGATCACTATGATCAAAACTATAGTTTTCTCCTTTAATTTGATATGCTTTCTGTCCCAACACACTGCGCATACTGTACACATTCTGCATCAAGTTCATGTGTATGTGTGCACCCCCCAGCATCAGATGAACATTACAGTTTTACTGTAGTGACCACAGTAGAACTGGGAACATGGAGACTACTCTGAAGCTGAACTGAGTAAGCACCATCATTTAGCATGATTCAACAAACCAAACAGAGTGGCAAGGTGGTGTATTCAGCCACAATTATGGCATTTTCAAGAAGCTGGCTAAATGTACGAGTAGCCACACAAGCAACATACAACCTAAAGCTGGCCATAGACATTAGACCATGAACAAATGTGCACAAATAATCGGATATCTGAATATGACTCATGAGAAATACACCTAACGGTTCCAATATATTGTATTTATCCAGAGAAAAGAATGAGTAAAAGTGATTTTAAAGTCTTATTTAAAAAAAAAAAAAAAAAAAAAAAAAAAAAAAAAAAACACCCACACATTTATACTTACCTGCTCTTGCATAGAGTGGCCCAGAACCTCCTCTTCTTGGGTTCCCCGATTCCACTCCTGGCTCCTCTTCTCTGCCACAATGCCTGTATCCATAGACAGAGATAGTGGAGCTCAGTCCCACCCTCCACAATCATCACAGGATATAACAGACAGCAGTGGGAGCCAATGGTTCCCACTGCCTCAGCAAAGTCTGTGAGAGCAGGGAGAAGCGGGGGATCCATTACAGACAGCACAGCACTGAATCAAGTGAGGACTCAGGGAAATATTTTCCCGGGATGAGGGGGGATACTACTAACTAAACAATTTTTACCTTAATGTAGGGAATGCATTAAAGCAAAAATGTTTAGGGTTTAGAACCACTTTAATAACTCGAATTTCTGCAGCTGCTCTAGACTGAGGAGTCAAAATTTTAAATACTGTGTTTGGCTGAAGCAGGAGGCAGTTTGTTCATCAAAGGCCTGGAGGGAGGTACAATAATGTGTGTCTGCAGGCAATAGTGAAGCATGGTGAAGGTATCTTGCAAGTTTGGGGTTGCATTTCAGCAAATGGAAATGGATATTTGGTCAAGAACAATGGTGTCCTCAATACTGAGAAATACAGACATACTTATCCATCATGTCATACCACCAAGAAGGTGTGTGATTGGCCCCAAATGTATTCTGTAGCAGGACAATGACCCAAAACATACAGCCAATGTCATTGAGAACTATCTTCAGCATAAAGAAAAACAAGAAGTGATGGCTTGGCCCTGACAGAGCTCTGATTGCAACATCACAGAGTATGTCTGGGATTACATGACGAGACAGAAGGATTTGAAGCAGCTGACATCCACAGATCTGTAGTTAGTTCTCCAAGATGTTTGTAAAACCTACCTGCCAAGTTCCTTCAAAAACCGTGTACAAGTGTACCTAGAAGAATTGATGCCATTATAAAGGCAAAGGGTAGAAACCCCAAATATTTATTGGATTTGGACTTCTCTTCTGTTCATTTTCTTTCCATTTTTTTTAATAAAAAAAAAAAACAAACAAACTTGAATTTCATTGGCTGAGAACAAATATAATGCCAAGCTATGGCAGGGGTGTGGACATTTTTTAAAAAACTACTTGTCCAAGGGACTAAATAGGGTCTCAATCTACTTGTCCCGCATGACAAGCTACTCGTCTTTTTCCCATCATTTTTACTTGGTTTTACAAATACAGTTACAGCAAAAAAAAAATAAATAGGACAGTGAAAAGCTACACAATACCACAGTATAGATGTTGCGGTAAAGCTTAACAAAGGAGAAAAAAAAGTAAATAATATAATAATAATAATAATAGTTAAAAGTTTATCTCCTACTCACTGCAGCTCTCCTGTCAGTTCGGAGCACGCTGATCCTGAGAGAAGAGTTTATCTCTCAGGATCAGCATGTTCCTGTGAAGCACACACCCCCGCCCCCTAGTAAAACACTCCCCTCACACAGTTAACCCTTTCAGTACCTAAAAAAGGTAACTCCTTCCTCCCCAGTGCCATTAGTACAGTGTCAGTGTTTTTTTTTTTTTGCACTGATCACTGTATTGGTGTCACTGGGGATGTCAGTGACCCCAAGTCAGTTCCCCCTCAGTGTCAGAATGTGTGCCGCAGTCCCGCCATAAGTCGCTGATCACTGTCATAAATCGCTGATCGCCGCCATTATTAGTATAAAAAAAAATTTAAATCCAATATCTTTCCCGCCATTTGTAAACGCTATAAAACTTTGACGTAAACCAATTAATTTACACGTATTGGGATTTTTTTTTTTTAGCAAAGACATGTCGCAGAATACATTTTGGCTGAAATTTATGACGAAATTTGATTTTTTACAGTTTTTTACTGGACATGTTTTATAGCAAAAGTCCAACATATTGTTTTTTCTCAAAATTGTCAGCCTTTTTTTTTTATAGCGCCAAAAAAAAAAAAAAAAAAAAAAAAAAAAAAAAAAAAAAAAAAATCGATCACATACCACCGAAAGAAAGCTCAATTTGTGGGAAAAAAAAAAAGGAACGTACCATATTTTTCGCTCCATAAGACGCACTTTTTTCCCCCAAAAAAGGGGGGGGAGATGTCAGTGCGTCTTATGGAGCGAATGTAAAGCGGCCGGCCCGGTATTTTTGCCGCCACCATGTCAGAATACCTGGCCGGCCGCTCAGCTCTTCTCTCCTGCAGGGCCTTACCTGTTCCTCGCTCCAGCGCTGCAGTTCCCGCGGCGGCTTCTGTGACAGCCGGGTGCCCACTGCGCATGCGCGAGAAGCGCTGCGTTTTGTGAATGGTCCGGTGTCTTCTGGGAGACATGACAGGTCCCAGAAGGCCCGGGCCATTCACAAAGCGCAGCGCTTCTTGCGCATGCGCAATGGGCACCCGGCCGTCACAGAAGCCGCCGCAGGAAGAAGGAAGGCAACTCCGCGGAAGTGGGAGCGGGTACCTGTCAAATTCAGGTACCCGCTCCCCCTCCCTCCCCAAAGGTCCGCAGTCTCTGGTTATCTCTTTTACTGTATGCAGTCTCTGGTCATCCCGCAGTCTCTGGTCATCCCCTGTACTGTGTCCGCAGTCTCTGGTCATCCCCTGTACTGTGTCCCCCTGTATCCCCTGTACTGTGTCCGCAGTCTCTGGTCATCCCCTCTGGTCAGTCTCTGGTCCCCTGTACTGTGTCCGCAGTCTCTGGTCATCCCCTGTACTGTGTCTGCAGTCCATTGGTTCAGAATATTTTTTTTCTTGTTTTTCTCCTCTAAAACCTAGGTGCGTCTTATGGTCAGGTGCGTCTTATGGAGCGAAAAATATGGTAAATTTAATTTGAGTTCAGTGTTGTATGACCGTGCAATTGTCAGTAAAAGTAACACAGCGACGTAACACAAACCGCTTCTGTAACCGCTTCCTGACCGCCCTGTAGCAGAAATACTGCTACAGGGCAGCATGGGTGCGCAAAATCACATATATATATATATATATATATATATATATATATATATATATACATACATACACACACACACACGTGATTCGCGCTCCCGCGGTGTTCACTCCTCTCCAGATAGCGTCAGATTGCCCATCAGTACACCAGTCATCACATTTAACCCCTTGATTGCCAGGAACACGCTCATACACAATAAACCTCCATTGCTAGTATAGTGTCTGAACGGATCAATATCTTTGATCAGATCAGCACTATACCATTCACATTACACCGTGTTCCAAATTATTATGCAAAATTATATTTTTCTCATTTACCAAAATATTTGATGTAAATAACAGTCAGCATAATTCTCATGTTATCAACTATTAAGAGTACAATTCACATTTTATTGAACAAACCTTCTAATGATAACAGTATTTTTGTTAAACATAAAAAACTTACAATGCACTGTTCCAAATTATTACGCACAGTAAGTTTCAAAACACTTTATAGGTTGTAAAGAACTGAAAATTGTCATTTGTTGTGTTTGCAGCATATTTACTGAAATCAAAATCTATTTCAATCAAACTTTTAATAACATTTTAACTTTTTAAACATTTAACAGGTAATGTTACATTGTAACATAGGGCCCCTTATTTGATAGCAGCTTCACAAGTCTTGCATCCATTGAACTTGTGAGTTTTTGGACAGTTTCTGCTTGAATTTGTTTGCAAGATGTCAGAATAGCCTCCCAGAGCTGCTGTTTGGATGTAAACTGCCTCCCACTCTCATAGATCTTTTGCTTGAGGATGCTCCAAAGGTTCTCAATAGGATTGAGGTCAGGGGAGGATGGAGGCCACACCATGACTTTCTCTCATTTTATCCCCATAACAGCCATTGATGCAGAGGTATTCTTTGCAGCATGAGATGGTGCATTGTCATGCATGAAGATGATTTTATTACGGAAAGCATAGTTCTTCCATCTGTACCAGGGAAGAAAGTGGTCAGTCATAAACTCAGCATACTTTGCAGAGGTCATCTTTACACCTTCGGGGACCCTAAAGGGGCCAACCAGCTCTGTTCCCATGATTCCGGCCCAAAACATCACTCCACCACCGCCTTGCTGACATCGCAGCCTTGTTGGAACAGGGTGGCCGTCCACCAACCATCCACT